GCTTCCCGTCGTCTCTCGCCGACCACGACTACGATCCATCTCCACCTGGTATTTTTCCAACCTTTTCTTTTTTTATTTTCCTTTAGCCTCTTTTTTTGGCCTCTTTATGTATAAATATTATTTGCTTTTTGTATATGCACGTATCCTTTAATCTTATTTTGCTTTTCCCTTCCTCATCGTGTTCTTGCTTTCAAATTTTCTTAAAAAGCAAAGACAAAAGGCAACGTTTTTTTCCCTCAAAAAAAGTAAAATATGGAAAACAATTGGCCATGTGGGCAAAGTCATTCATAAGTTTCATAAGATGTACGTAAAAACAAAAATGAGGACTTTGGATTCAATACCGCGTTACAAGGCGGCTTCATTTCTGTATGTTTTTTGTCCCTTTGACCGGGTCAAAGTCATAATTTTATATGCTTATTTGGCGAGTGGCTTTCCCACTTCCGTTGGTTTTCGTTTTAATTAAGTACATTTTCGTTAAAGTTTGCTCATTTTAATTAATTTCAATCCAACACTTCACTCACTATGTTTTTAATGAGTCATAAATTGTATTAAAGATTTTCATGATATATAAAATTTTACAAATAGATATCAACTTGATCACTTTTTCGTGAAATAAAAAAATTGTTTTGAAATTACAATTATTAAAATTAATAAAGGGATCAAAAGTATATAAATTAAAATAAAAACAAAGTTAAGAGTAAAGGTTACACAATGGTATGGAAATCAAAATCTTTCTACATGCATCAAAATAATGTATAGTATTGTCTGTGGTTGCACTCTTTTGATGCTTTTTAAAAGTCTAACATTTAAGCCTTTCTTCTAATTGGTATTTATTTTTTCTTTCCGCTTTGGAAAAATAATTATTCCACCAGTGAATTGAATAGAAACATCAAGCTCTGGAAAATGTTTAGACGAAATGTCCCACAAAAGAAAAAATATTATTCATTATCCTAACATGTACATTTCATCCATTATCAAAGTTTTCATCTCATAAGTTTGTGGAGTTAGGATTTAAGTCTTCTCTTTTGATAAAAAATATATAATTAATTAATTAACTGTCTCATCTTATATAGCTTTTATTTTCATTGAAAATGAATCAATATTTAATATCTTAGTTGTATTTTCTCAACTAATATTTAATTAACTATTTTATAAGCATGATAGTGATCTAAAATTCCAACGATTGACATAATTTTGTTTACGACATAAATAGATATTATACCACAGTGCTACATTACATATTATCTCACCTACTAAATGTCTATTAAATTTAAATCATTAATATTTGTCTATTTTATCTCACCTCCTTCAAAGATAATCAATATTTTATCATTAATTAAGTTTTGTTGATGATTCTTTCAACTCATTAATTCCTAGTTTCTCACATTAATAAAAACAAGTAGATCAAAGTAAATATCAATTAAAAAAACATTGAGAGAAAGGACTTGGAAGATTCTACATAAAAGCACAATTTTCATGGGAGCAGGTATCATCTCTCTCTCTCTCTCTCTCTCTCTCTCTGATTCCACTTTTTTGAAGTAAAAAACTCTGCATCTAGTTTTTCTGTGCATTTTCTTTCTTCTTCAACCAACCAAACCTTCCCACATGGAAACCATGGAAGTCGGTCTCCTCTACCAAATCATCCGCATTTATAATGACAATTTTGTCCCTGTCTTCCAATGGGTATTTTCCACTCAAAATCCCACCAATTTCAGCCGGACCCAGTAAAAGTTTGAAAAACACCGTCTTGTTGAGCCGTTGTTTGGTCTGAAAACTGAAGTTTTCGTTTATGGAAATTTGGGGGTCGTGGGTGGTTGTTGAAGAACTGGTAAAGTTTGTCCTCTGTTTCTTTCCTTTTTCCATTCTCCGTTTACCAAATTCAACAGATTGAAAAGCAATTTCGAAACTTCTTCGAAAGGCATGTGGTGCTTCCCTTCCTTCGATTCCCATTTCTCTACCCCATTTTCATCTTCTTCACTCTTCTCAACTTCTTCCTATGGACTTCAAACTCCAAACCCTCTTCAATCCCACGCTTATTTGCCTCTTCACTGTCTTCTTCTCGACTTTTGCTTCTGAAATCGCCTCTCTGGACAAGAAATTCAAGGCCTGTGCGCCTCGAAGCTGTGGAAATGGTCCAAATATAAGCTACCCCTTTTGGATATCTGGTGTCCACGAACCTTTCTGCGGATACCCAGATTTCAAAATCGTATGTAATGATGAAAAATACCCTGTTCTTGAAATTTCCGGCGAGGGTTTTATCATCGAGGACATTTTCCCCCAAAACCATTCGTTTCTGTTGGTCAGTCCTTCAGCTTACGGCTATGAACATTCATGCCCTTCTCATAACACCAGCCTCACTCGAACACCATTCCGTTGTACTTTGGATAATGAAGATTTCTTCTTCTTCTATGATTGCCTATCGAAGCCCGCGGATCAGATTTATGAACTCAACTGTTCTAGCGACGATTCCTCCCTCTTTTCTTTTGCGACTTTCCACCAGGACCTTTCGGAGCATTCATGCCACTCTTCGATTCGGCTGCCTATTCGCAAGAATCCGAATGTTAGTCCAAATGTCCTAGGGGAAATGAATTATGTTGAGATTTTGAAGATGGGTTTCGTTCTGAATTGGACTGCACAGTACTGCAGCGGCTGCGATCAAAGTGGTGGGCTCTCTGGATTTGAAAATAATAATCAGTAGCGATGTGCCTAATTTCGTTAACTGCAAACCTGATATTTTGGGTTGTGTGTCTCTCTTCTTTTTCTGATTTACATATTTCTTGAGACTGCTAAGATTGTTTTTGCTTGAAAGTTTTACTTAGCATGAACTGATGAACAGATATGGGCATTCTTTGGCAGTGGTTGTTTCAAAGGTTTCTTTTCCAAGTTTTCTTCTTACGTTTAGTCTGATATTGTTGTTAACTTTCCTTATTGCTTAATGTTTCAGAGCGCAGGAATGATAATAAGCATGATATCAGAAATAAGATTATAATTGGTAATACACGAAAGCTGCTCTGTTTTTCGTCCTCTGTTCACATGTTTGCCTGTCTAACAATTGATTAAAAACTCCATTGTTTTCATTCGTGCGCAGGCACATGTGTTGGTTTTGGAACCTTGCTTTTAACTTTACTTGTTCTCGGCATCTGGTACCGGCGGCAGCTCCGCCATAAAACTTCTCGCACGCTGCCGTATGTGCAACGAAGCATTCCCTCGGATCCGTTGAACCCGCCGAATCCGCCTTCTGTGGAAGAACTTGAGAAGGGTGGTACTTACTTGGGTGTTCACCTCTTCTCCTATAAAGAGCTTGAAGAAGCCACCCACCATTTTGACTCCAATAAAGAGCTTGGAGATGGAGGTTTTGGCACAGTTTATCATGGTTAGAGCTTAAAGCAGCCGTTTAAATCTAATCTTAAACATAGTGCTTGCTTAATTATCAGATGGTGATTGTTTGATGGATCTTTTTGTTCATATCTCTGTTTAGGATTACTCAAAGATGGGCGTGCAGTTGCTGTAAAACGTTTGTTTGAAAGCAATTTTAAGAGAGTTGAGCAGTTCATGAATGAGGTGGATATCCTTGCCCGCCTACGCCACCGCAACCTCGTTTCGCTTTACGGTTGCACCTCCCGCCATAGCCGTGAGCTTTTGCTTGTGTATGAGTACATCCCGAACGGCACCGTGGCTGATCACCTCCATGGCAAACTAGCAAAGCCTGGCAAGCTTCCATGGTCTACAAGAATGAAGATTGCTATAGAGACTGCAAGCGCTTTGGTGTACCTCCATGCTTCTGAAATCATCCACCGTGATGTCAAAACCAACAACATTCTCCTTGACAACAACTTTTGTGTTAAAGTAGCTGATTTCGGACTGTCCCGTCTCTTCCCTCTCGATGTCTCACACATTTCGACCACTCCACAAGGCACGCCCGGCTACGTTGATCCCGAGTATCATCAGTGCTACCAACTCTCCGATAGAAGTGATGTCTTCAGCTTTGGAGTGGTACTAGTTGAGCTCATGTCCTCAATGCCCGCCGTTGACATCACAAGGCATAGACAAGAGATCAACCTGTTCAACATGGCCATCAACAAGATCCAAAGCCACGCATTGCACGAGCTCGTCGACCCCACGCTTGGTTTCGAGTCGGACTACAAAATCCGAGAGATGATAACCAGTGTAGCCGAGTTGGCATTTCGATGCCTGCAGGGTATGAAAGACGAGAGGCCATCAATGATGGAGGTTCTCGAGACCTTGAACACCATACAGAAACAAAACACCGATAAAGGGAAGGATCAAGAATCCGAAATTTCGGCGAAGGACGACGCCGTGCTGTTGAAGAATGGCTATGCTTCTTCTCCAAATTCCCTATCTACATCTTGGGTTAGCAGCACATCCACAGCAACTACCGAAACCGTAAGCGCTTGATCAAGCTCTCTCCTCCCACCATTATACCACCACTGTAAACTCAAGTAGTTCATCATAATCATTCCATTTTCAATGATGGGTTGCTGCATATATGTTTTGTTAGTGTTCATTAAATTGATTCTTCAGTCTTTAAGAATATTAGAACCTAATAGAACAAAAAGGCCAAGGTTTTTACTTGTCCCAGGTTGTTAAATTACATGCGAACGAATGATATTGGCTCAAAAATTGAAAGGAATGAAGATATAAACTATATAGAAAGTATGGGCGCATAAGGTTCAATGATCGAACCGCATGAGCTTAGGGGCAAACATTAGGAGTCTATTCAAAGAATTGGGCATGAATTTCCTGGCAAACAAATGGCAGACATTGGTGCTCACTCCATTGTAGTCGCAGTGGGAACCGGTCCTGAGCCGCTCGAGCAATTCAACGTTGACGTCATTCCGGATGAAGCGGGTCGGGTGGGGCCCGCCCCGGGACCAGTCGACCCAGGTGAGGGTCCGGTTGGAGTTGGTGGCGGAGAATTTGATCCCGACGAGGGTGGGGAGGTAGTGCTCGTCCATGTAGCAGGGGGGCGTGCAGAATTTGTGGAAGACGGGGAAGAATTTGTGGTCGGAGACGACCTCGGCGGCGAGGGGGCGGTCGATTTGGAACCACTGGGAGCCCTTGCGCCACTGGTGGAGGTTGATAGTGGGCCGCATGCGAGGCCTGTAGCGGCCGCGGCCCACTGGGCCGGGTAAGTCGTAGGCCTCGATGAAGGTGGTTTTGGAGCCCATTAAGTAGTTGTAGACGGTGGAGAAGTTGAAGAGAGGGATGCAGGATTCGGAGAGGAGGACGAATCTCTGGTTTGAGAAGTCTAGCAGCGCATTCGCTAGCAGCCGCCGCTCCGCCTCCATCATGCTCGGCTCCCCCCATTTCACTCCCTGCAATTTTTTTTTTCTTTTTAATGTTATTTTAATACTCTAAATAAGTAGGATAATTTTCGTTGACATATTAGACATTCATTAAGCTGGACAAAATAAAATAAAAGTAAATTGACCATTCATAGTATTGCAAACTAATGGATAAAATATTAAAATATCAATAAAATATTACTTATATAGATATAATATTAATATTTATCATTTTTAATTTAATTAGAAAGGGTAAAATGCTTATTTCTTAATTTAAATATTTTTTACAATTTTTTTATTTTTATAATTTTTCTAAAAATATATTTTATCAATATTTCCATCAACTTTTATCAATATTTCTATTGACACCCCCATAAAATAGTGAAATAAATATTTTAATTTATAGCGACATTTTAAATACAGTTTTCTTAAACGGAGCTATACCTAAACCTACCAATTAAACCTCAAGCTATCTAAACTAAAGCTTGCAAGTCCAAACCCGCCCTGAAATCACTTAAGCTCGTTTTTATTTAAATCTCTTTACTTTTTCATCCGTCAAGGTCAATCTAGAGTTCTTAATGAACCTCTCCTTTTGTTTTCCTCCTAACAAGCAAGAACCAGGGAAAAGGGGAAGGAAAAAAGGGGTTTGATTCTTTGTCTATATATGGTGAAATCTAATATTCATGTGGGAGAAGAAGAAGGCATAAAGAAAAGAATGCAAAGAAAAGGTTAGAATGGGAAAAATGCACACACAAAGGAATTGATTGGAAAATTTTCTTCAACTTTCTTGAGTAGAATCCAAGTAATGCATGTGAAAGTTTGAAACATTCCTACAAATCCATTTTTGGTATCTTTACAACCAAAATCTCCAAGCTGTAAAATAATTCTTTGATTTTATGCCATTTATCATTACAATTAAGGTAAAATAAAAGGAAAATATTAGAGAGAATAATCTCATGAAGGCAAATTACATTAAATTACAATATACACCCACGACCCAGCTGTATTTGGTTTCCTAATTTGACCGTAGAAGTTAAAAGGTTCTTTTTTGCCTAAGTGGACACAAAAATTGTTAATTTGAACCGACATGATTAACTTAGAATATTTCATACGTTAAAACAATGCTTTTAATAGGTATTAAATAATTAGCCTGTAAAATATATTTATTTAAACAAATAATGGACCCAGAAAAATAAAACCATCCTCATAACACAGTTTATGTTATTCAATATGTCAAATTGCAAGCAAACGGAAAAAGAGAAATTATAATTAATTAACAACGATGAATAAACATCACATTTTTTGATCATATCCTACTGGATTTGAATTGAATATGGGAAAATTGAAAACTAGAGAATGACGAAACTGACCTTGCTGGGGATGGTGCGGCGGAAGAAGACGGAGGAGGTGGAGGGGAGGGTAGAATTGGAAATGGAATTGGAATGGACGTAAATGGAGAAGAGGGAATGGTGGGCGGGTTTGAAGAACAATTCCCAGAGGGGAGCCAAAGCGACGCCGTTTTTGGTAAGAAATAAGAAGGCGATTTTGGGGGGCGGCGGGGAGGGGCCGAAGTTTGGAACAACACGGGGGGCGAGAGAGGCCCTCCAGAGAAGCTCCTCGTCCGACATGTCGTGCATGGGCGGGGGCGGCGTGTCGTCGTCGGGTAAGCGGAGGAGAGATGGCGGCGGCGGCGGAGGCGGACGCGGCGGAGGGGAGTAGGAAGAGGTGGCGGCGAGGCCGGGGGAGATCTGGAGGAGAGGGAAATTGAAGAGGGAGAGGGAGAAGCCGATGGCGAGGCCGGAGGCGAAGAGGAGGAGCTGGGAGAAGAGGGATTTCAATTTGAAGTGCATTAATTGGAGTTTCAAGAAAATAAGGTGCGCCTTCGGATCCGATTGCTGCTGCTGCTGCTGTTTAATCGTCATTGAAAGATGAAACACAGAGATCGATGAAGAGAAGAAGAACTCAAAAGTTTTCCACACTGCAACAAGCGGAAGCAGCCATGGAAATGGAGAGACCTCCTTTTCCCTTCACATTCCCCACCTTTTATAATTATCATTATAATTCTTTTTTTTTTTTTACTTTAAATTACAATTTTATATTTTATGAGTATGTTTCGATTTTTTGTTTTTTACTATTGAAAAAGAATGTAAATATGTTTGGTGATTTTTTTTTGTTCTCTAAAATTTTAGATTGAAAAATAAAATTTTTATATGAAAATTGTTTAAATTAAATATTCAAAAATTTTAAATTGTTGTTATTTTTAAATATCCATTATGAATTTTATAAATCAAAATAATAAAATCATGTTCTTATCCATTTTTTGGGGAAAAAAATAGATGCGAGATGACTAAATGAGAAATTTGATTTTGTTGTTTCAAAAATTTATATACAATTCTAAAATGTTTCTTAAAAAAGATAGATACAAAACGTGAATATTTATGAAAAATTTAAAATGAAATATAATACACGAGAAACAAGAACGTTATCAAACGAGTTCTTAACTTTTATTTTTGTGTTTAATAAATTTCTAAACGCATAAACGCATCATATTTGACGACTCGAATATAAATAATCTTATTTACGTATCAAAATATCAAACTTCACGACAACTGATGATTACTTTTTCTTTTTAGGACACAAATATTAGTACTACAAATATGCAATTTGGTTTTCACAATTAATTTTAATGTTTGGCTAAATTGATTTTTAAGACTTAAAAATAAAATTTAAATATGAATTTCATGTAAACGAAGTTATTTTTATATCTAATATGAAACAAAATGTTTTTTTTTCCAAATATTTGTAATTTATAAATTATAAAATCATTGAACTAAATAAATAAAACTTATTGTGTTTGTATTAAAAAAATTATATATCTGAAATTCATGCCTAAATTGGTAAGCGTGTATAAACAGCCAATGTAACAAATCTGACTTGAATAGGTTGCCAAAGTGATGAGTTGGACTTCCCGAGAAGAAACGAAAAAATGATGACTTGGTTTGCTTGGGACAACATATATACGCATTAAACTTAAATTGAAATAATAACTCATAGAATTCAAATTTATTTTATTACATTACACAATCAATTAGGGTCTTTTCATGGTTAAAAAGATATATTTATAATCTGTTGGGTAATATTTTCGTTTATTGTTTCTGTTTTTTAGTTTTATTAAGAGAATTTTAAGTGTTGGACAACTATTTATATTTCTTATTATCGTTTCCTGAAACATTATCAAAATTGTTTAAAAATCTTGGAAACAACGAAAACAAGTTTTGTTTCTGGTTCATGTTTCCAACTTATTCGAAAATAAAAATAAAAATATTGTTTTATTATTTTTTAAATTTATAGGTGTGTAGTCCTACAATTTTATGTTTCTTTATTAAAAATAAAGATAATAGATGTCATATATGAAAAGTTACCAAAAGGTAATATATGTCATTCTCAATTGAACAAGTCTAGAATTGACACATAAATATTCAACTGTTTGAGTTATATTTTGAGATAATTATTATAAGTTTATAAAAAACAAAAATAAGTTGTTTTGATAGAATAAGTGAGAGTGGAATTTTTACCCGTGACCTATTGATTAAATACAAAAACTAATTACCACTGAAAAAAACTACATTAATATATATTTGAATTAAGAAAATGATTATTGGATTTGGGAGATCTAGAAGAAGATGGGACGAATCACCCAAAAAGTAAAAAGAAAAAGAAAAGAAAAGAGAAGGGTATTGTGTGTGTTTGTGGTTGAGGCCGCCATGGTCGACCTTCACGGGCTTCACGGCGGTTCCTGAACGTTACATATCAGCAGCCACCCACCAAAAAAAGTTTTTTTAAAAGAAAAAAAAAATACCTAAGTCCTTTCTCACGTGGAACTTCATCCAAAATATATATATATATATAAATATATATTTGGCTTTTTTACGTATTATTTTAATCAATTTACTTTTCAATTTTAGCTTTGTTTTGTTTTTATCTACTTTCAAAACGTTAATTTTATAAATTTGGTGTTAAAATTTTGTAAATAAAAATCAAAATAAGTAGTTTTATAAAATTAAATACTTAATAGATATTTTGAAAATATAAAATATATATAGATATAGATACATATATATAGGTACTTACTTAAATGAATTATAAATAAAATTATGGGGAATAAAGTAGTATTTAAACGTTTATACTATGTTTTTGAAGCATAAAAACAATAAATGAAACTAAATAGATAAAATATCCAAATTACAATCTCTTTCCAAAACCGTCAATAATTCCAAATGGTCCTTTTCTATCAATATCGCATTTTCCTTCTTCTGCAATGCTCACCTCGTTAAAAAATGAGCAACCTTATTTCCTTCTCGTCTTGTAAAATTATAAGTTTTATGGAGCTGATTTGCTATACATCCCTTCTACCGCTTAACAAAATATGAAAGAGTTTAGATTAAGGGGAGAAAACGTGTTATTTCTTTAATTCTTTCATATTTGTTAAGGAAAAAGTAAATGTTTGTTAGGGAAAAAGTAAATTAAGAAGTAATGATTAGATTAGTCATAATTAGAAGGGACAAAAGTATCTTTATCCAAAGAGAACGGAAATACAAAATTCTAATTGGTTTGTTCCAATTTGAAAAATAGTAATTGTAAAACATATGTTGGGAAGGGAAAATATTTACGATTATATACTTTATGTTTAAATATTTTCAAATATATATTGATTTCTTATTATTCGTTTATATTATATTTATTTCCTTAAGTACCGTTGCTTAATTTGATTATGTTTTGCATTATTTTACTGGGTTTATATTCTTGCCTTACATGTTTATCTAATTAAACCGTAATCTTCACCCACTTTTAATTAAAAATATATTTACATTTATTAATAGATTTGTTCTTTAATTCATGACTTTTTCTTTTTGTCCTAGGTATTTAATTTTTTTTCCCATTTCTTTCTCACTCTGATTTCGCACTTGCAATACAATTCTCGGATATTTTTACTTGAACTTTAGCAGTCATTGATAAGCTCATGTTTTCCCCTTTTTATTTTCTGGTTCATCATCTCTTGAAACTAAAAATTGATTTTTGCTTTTTGGGTTTTTTTTTTCCCTTCTGGTTTTCGCTCGGTAGAATCTCTATAACCGAAATTTGATTGTGTTTTTTTTGCATATAATTTGAACATATAAAAAAAAATATCATTTGAATAGAAATCCTTCAATCCTAGAAACTTGGTGAATATCTATTTGAAAAATGGTCGGCATTTTAGGGTAATTTATGGGCCGGTTGTCATTGTACGGCATTGGGCTTCTAGGGTTGAGAGATTTACGTTCATGGGCCGCTTCTATTGGGCTCTGTTCAATAGAAGTTTTATTCATGCCTTACATGTTTATCTAATTGGGCCGCTTGTATTGGGCTCTGTTCAAATCAGAGTTGGGCTGTTTGTTTGCTCTGTGATGGAAGCTGGATTGTTGAGGAATAAAACTTTGTCGTTTTGGTGAATGTGAATGACACCTCATCAACATTTTCGAAAAAGAAAAAAAAAATGAAAATGACACGTCTTCAGAGGATGATACTTTTTTTTTTTTCTGGAGAAAAGAGGATGATACCTTAATTCTTAGGTAAAGTATAGTCTTAAATTTATTAAAATCTTATCTGTAATTATTTGTTATGATGTATTAAACTTCTCATACGTAAATATTACACTTTCTGTAAGGTTGTGTTTGGGAGCGCTATTTGAAATTAATTGAAAAATATTTTTGGAGGAAATAAGAAATAAAATGCTTTGAGAGAAAGTAAATGTGCATACGTATTTTTAAAAACAAWTTTTAAAGTATAGATTTTTTAGTACAGCATATGAAAATGGGTATTCGAACACATAACCTTCTAATCCGAATAAGTGCCTTAACCAGTTGAACTATGTTCATATTGACTAAAGTATAAACTATTTGATTGTTTATAAAAGCGCTTTTAAAGTACACAACCAAATATTAAAGTGTAATAAAGGTAGTGTAAAACATACCTTAATTTTTAAAAGTGATGTCAAATACAATAGTAGCAAGCACACACATGAATGCTTTGTAGGTTAATTTATATGTGGATATCTAATATGAGCTTCACTTAGAAAGAAGAGGAAAATGTTTTGTGAGGAGGATTCCAAATTCTTTAATTGTATGTCTTTTTAGTGCTGCTCAAACACACACAAATATCATACTCGCGCCAAAAGAAAAAGAAAAATAAAAATTATTCACTAATTTCAAAAACCTAAATTTACTTAGGATGTTGAGTTTTATAAATCTTTCCATTTTCCAATTGGAATATAAATTTACATACTAATTAAATATGTAAGTTGGCATTTTAAAAATTGGGCAAAGAAACAAAAGGAATAATGTGGGGTGTGGTGTTGGGTTGCCATGTCTGTGGTTATTGATGCTTTCAAAATATGGATGATGAATCTAATGGCACTGCAAGAGTCTTAATCATGAACATAGATATAAAACTTACTTACTTATCACCATTAAAAAATTTATTCTATTTCTAAATTTCTTGATAATTCATTTTTTTTACTTGTCTATTTAAATCATAGCAGGTAGGAAATATCCCCTTAGGGTTAGTACCTAAATTTTATTCAAAATAAAATGACGACATTATCATCTCATAACTACTTGGAAGAATATAAAACTTAACTTTCTTGATCTTCTTCTCATAGTAAAATTTGTTGTTCATTAAGTTGTACATTTCCCAAATATATTATAGTATAAATTTGTTGTTCATTAAGTTGGAATTAGGGAAAAAAAACGAGCTGGGATGTTTTGAACTTCTAGCTTGAAAATCTTAACGAAATCTTATAACTTGAGTGTATAGGTCAAATGTGCCATCACATCCTAACAAAATCTTACTGAAATTTTGATACCTCTTTCTTTACATAACGGTGGGATATGCGAAGGGAGCCTACATAGTGTGCATCTATATTTGATATTTACACTGATGTGAATCGTTCTTGTT